CCCTCCCAACCTAGTCACAGCCATGAACCTAGCACGCACCTTCGAACGCAAACTACAGCTCAGCTATGGAACCGTCAGTATGGGGAGGCCTCCATCAGCATGGGCAACCCCGGAACCACTCGGAGTGGCTCCATATTCAGCAGCCAGCCAAGAATGGAAGCCACAGACAAGCACCAATTCCAGATCAGCATCCGATGTGGGGAGCAACATTGTTACACCCCCTATTAAGCGCTTGTCCAGGGCTGAGATGGCAAAACGCAGGGCGAGGGGGCAATGTTTTAATTGCAATGAACTCTACTCAGCAGGACACAAGTGCAAGAGACTTTTCTGCCTCCTGGTGAAACAAGAGGAAGATGAAGAGGAGCCCCCTTCATGGGAACCCGATCCAGGAGGGCAAAGCCATTCCACCTATCCAAGATTCCCTTGACGGTGTTTTCCGACACCCATTCGAGCTTGAGGACAAGCTCGTTGTCCAGGAGGGGTGTGATGTTATGGACACACCGCCCGGCATCACACTACGGCGTAGTCATAGGCAGTGGCACGCACAGCAGCACGCACCACCCGGCAGCATGCAACATGCACCGCCCGGCAGCGCGCAACATGCACCGCCCGGCAGTGCACAACATGCACCTCCTGGCAGCGCGTAGCACGCACCACCCGGCAGCGCGCAGCACACACCGCACGGTAGCAGCACGCACCGCACGGCAGCAGCACTATGAGACGTGCGCCGCCAGGCAGTAGCAGTAGGGCGGGACCCACACGACAGCTCATCAGGGTGGGTCCACACTTAGCTTACCACATCAGCTCGGCTCGCCAACTCGCCGCTAGCTACACCATTCCTCATCCCTTATCCTTATCTTATCTTATCTTTTCTTAAGTAAGAGTTGTGTTACCATTAGGAGTAGGTAATTAGGAGTTTGAGTTTAAGTTGGATTACCCTAGCCTAGTCAAATCCAACAAGGAATTTCCTTCTGTAATCTCCTATTTAAGGAGCTACGAATTGAAGTAAAGGCATTCAGTTTTCTAGTCAAGAAAAGAGTGAGGAGAGTTTGGGTGGTCTCTTGGACAAATCACCCATTCGGTTTTCCACAATAGGGTCTGCACGCAAGGGAAGACGCAAGGGGAAGCAAGAGGTTTTTCCCGTGGACCGACCCGTGACGAGATCCTATGCCCGGGCCCACAACAAATGGCTTTTGCCATTGTTGTACATTGATATGTTAAGATCATTATTGTTTTTTCCCCACCCATTGCATTCAAAAATGCTTCGACTATCTCACTATACATTAGTACAGCCCCAAATATTACTGTTTGCCTATGGTGATTAACACCAACAAAAGGTGCAAATGGATGATGATCCTGATTGGTTTTGAAGGTGGTATCAAAGCAGATCACATCACCAAAAAAATGATAATCAGCTACCATTTTTGCATCCGCCCAAAATTTGTAATCTGATATTCAAAATCGAGTTGTATGGAGTGGAATGATGAGGACTTCTCCATCTGCTACTTCTCGAAAAATTTTAAAATGGCTCCTGCACCTCCCATTTCCATATTTTTTCTCTTTGTCCGTAGATAATTGTAATAATTAGCATGAGTGGATCCCAAATTCTTAGCACTTCCAACTTGATTGGCCATATACTCCATGGTGGCTTTTGGTGTTGTCCCTGACTTGTTTGCAAGATCAGCCTAGAAGTTTGGGCCACCTTCATTTTCCTACGTGACCTTACCATGTATGACTTACTTGGAGTTTGCAAGATCAGCCAGACTTACATGTTTGCAAGATCTAGCCTAAGCATCTAAACAATGCAAAATAGGTGTATTACTGTCGTGAATGCAAAAAGATAACACAACCCTCATGGCGGTGTAAGACAAGCTCATACTAGAAGACTTGATGCACAAAAAAATTCCCTAAAACTAAGCAGCATACAGGCAGAGTTGATGTGCAAAAAAATCCCTAAAATTAAGCATAGAAGCAAACCCCTAATGGATGGCTCAAGTCTGAAAGCAAAACCCCTAATTGATAGCCATTGGATTGGGATTTGAGTTTCGGGTTCACTCACCTTCGTTTGCCTGGAGAATGGCCGCGGGTGTGAGCTGAGGTTCGGCAACACCTTTGTAAGAAAACAAGGAATACCTTTGTAAGAAGAAGAAGAAGAAGGAAAAGAAGAAGAAGGAGGAGGATGCCAGACAACATACCGGTGCCGGAGTCTCGCCGCCAAAGGATGATGGCTGATGAGGCGATGAACGATGGCCAGTATGGTGTGTTCGCCAAATGGAGGAAGGTTCGGTGGAAGAGAAAAGAGAAAATGAGAAACAGGGTTTGAATTTAGGATTTGTCATTGTCTGCCCGGTTCAACCATGAATGCCAATTAACGTCTGCCTGCCTGTTAACATTAGACGGTTTTCACATGAGACGACATGGTCGTCACTCATTGGCGGAACACGGACTCGATGTTGGGGTAAGCTTTTGGCCAAGTATCTAATTAATTATCCCAACTCCCAAGGGCCCTGGTTGTTTCGATATGATCGATGAATGATCTCCAAATTATCCCCCACTCCATATATCAAGGCAATCAACTATATATTCCCGTTTTTGTGCTTGACCCTCACCCCTACACCTACATGTGCATATCACCATTTCCACCTCAGAAAAATGCAATTCCTGTACGTCTGAGCACTTACACATTCACCACCAGAAGGTAAGGGATGAGTTAACCTTCTTGGGCATCAGAATTATAGTGATATCTATTTAGCCAACTTGTCAATATGACCTCTTCATTCGGGGAATCAAAGTGAATCTTATATGATAGGGGAATACCATTCTCGTCAAGGTTTAAACTATCGATCGTTATACGTGTTGTACCATATCGTATAATATATTTTCAGTGTCACCGATACATTATATACACAAATGGCCATATTCAGCACTTAATAACCTTCCCATGGATGATGGTACGGATCATAGCTTGGGAGCTGAAACAATTTCTATCCATGAGTATTGCGCCTTTGAATTGCACATTACCCAAAAATTGTGATTAATATAAAATGTTGATGGACAAGAAAGAATCAATGACTATTCAAGACGGAGTGAATCATCACATAAGAGAGAATCTATAGGTATCTTCTTTTTATGGTAGAAACGATGGTAATTAATGTGTTTGAGATCCCCATCTAAAATGGAAGCGTCTATTATAAAATTTAAATGAAGATTAGCAACCCCATCTGAATTTGCCCACTTCCTAAAAAGAGTATTAGCATGTGCTATATTTGTAGAATTAGGCTCATTTGTTTTTTGAGAAAAATAATAGAAAAAGGGCGTTTGAAGAAATGCTTTAAGTAGGGGTGAACATGGGTCGGTTTAGTTTCATGTCTAGATTTCGGATTTTTAGAACTGAAACCTAGTCTATGAAGGTTGGTTTCAGGGTCGGTTCTGGCCTTGGTGGTTTCGGGATCGGTTCCAGGGTCTACCTATGGAACCTGTTCTTTGTTTACTCTCCCCCTTGAAAAAAAAAAAAAAGAMATGTTCTTTAAAAACTTGATTTTCAATAAATAAGATATATAGTTTAAAACTTATATTATCTTTATTGACTAAATTGAGCAAGTTAATATATAGGCTATCATTATATGGTTCAAAACTTTAGCTTAAGTTTAAAATTTGCATATATTACATTTTAAATTACTTATTATACACATTCAAATATTAACATGAAAACAAATGGTCAAATCACTTAAAGTAACTCAATGGTCGAGTGAGACCATGGCCTATGTAATCATGAGTGCTTGGGTTCAAATCTTCACATCCCCATAAGTATTCCAGAATTTATTTCAAAGCAAGTTTGGTTCCACGACAGGTTCCACCAAGGCCAATCAAGGTCAGTTCATCAAATCAATTCGAGTAGGGTAACCCCTAAACCATGGAATCAGCCTAGATGAGGGTCAGTTCTAAGCATTTGGAACCAAACCCTATCTTGTAACAAATTGGATAGGGTCAGTTCAAGGCCAGTTCAAGGTCGGTTTCATTCAGTTCCAAGTAGAACCTACCCATTTGCTCACCCCTGAATTTAAGGACTTGTTCGTAATTTTTCGTTTTTCAATAATTTTCTCAAAAAGAAAGGGGGTTAAATACTTAAAGTACCTTTATGGTTTAGCAAATGGACAAAAACTTACCCTATTGTTTGCATAATCACTTAAAGTACCCTTACAATTTCTGACAATGGACAAAATCCTCTCCTACTGTTAGCATGCCAATACAATCCGTTCTCATGTGATGTCACGTGACTTATATAATTTTTGTTAATTCCAAAACTACCTTTTTGCGGTTGATTTTTCTCTTCATTGTTCTTTTCTGCATTTGGATGCAATGTAAATCAATAACTGATGTAAATTTTACATCAATTCGGTTTTGTATGTGTTTGGAAAGAGGGTGTAATTATTATTGACATAAAACTACACTCCGGTTCAATTTTGTGTGCGTTTGGATGGAGTGTAGTTTTACGTTGATAATCAATATAAAACCTCATCAACTCTAAAGTTTTACATTGATAATCGATGTAAAAACTACATCGATTTTATCGATGTAAAACTTTACACCCTTCCACCCATCACTATTTTCAAAAAATCAGCGGTCACTTTCCGGTTTAGTGTAAAACGTATCGGTGTATTACACCGATGACGTTTTACACTTATTCCAAACACAAATTTTTAATACAAAACCTAATTTACCAATGAAAGAATCCCAAAAATTAGATTTTTTTTCTCTTTCTACTATTGTTGACTGATTTCAGGTGAGAAGAGTCTTCAGAAACACAGAAATTTGTGGTGACTTCAGATCTGGGCAGATTTGAAGTAGAAGTAGCAGATCTAACTTTGGGACTTCATATCCCTAAAAAATCCAAGCAAACAAACAAAACATCCAATAAGAGAATCTTAAAATGCAACTCAAGAATACTAGGACTATTGCACCATCCTCCTCCCTCAAGTACCAATAAGAAAAACAAAGTGTGGCAAAAATAATATTGGATTTCTAGAAGAAAAAAAAAACAGTGCTTTTATAAGATCTCATGCTTCTAATTTCGGAAACCCTAGAGTACAAGACTGGAGAATAAGGGCTACTAAGGATTTGAATTCAAACACCAGAACTACGACTTTGTAGGATTTGAATTCAAACATGAAAAGGAATTCCTTTCTTGGAAGTAATAAGCAAGAGTGCAATAAATATAACTATGGAAAATATAATGCAACAGCAACGTATACACCCAGTAGAATTTGGCAGGAACGCACCTCTCAATTCGGATGCCAGAAGAATCTTCGCTGATATCTGAATGGTTGTGGTCATTTTCTGGGCAATTCCTTCCTCTGAATTTTATAAATAAAAGGATTTTTGGTTTGGAGGGATATAACAAGGATGAATTGCCACCCATTCTTGAGGGAATTGCTGTCGTAGCTCGTCCAGTTCTCTTTGGAAAGAGTTGTGGTCAGTTTTCTCCACAATGTTATATTCTGAAAATTTGAATAAAAACCAAAGGTTAAGTAGTCTTTTCAATCTTTCCATTACTGGTTAATAACAGTTGTCCATTGTCAGAAATTATAAGCGTACTTTAATCAGTGATTATGCAAACAATAGGCTAAGTTCTTGTTTATATGCTTAAATCATAGGGAAAGTTTAAGTATTTAACCCAAAAAACAAAACACATAGTAAAATAATAAAAACTAAAAACTATTTCAGTAAATTTAGTAGGGATGTGTTTGGGAATTTGAAACATGATGTGTGTATGTCTTGTCTGAATATAAATATGTTCAGTGCAAATACAAAAATTCCAATACAGAATTCTTAAGCTGGAGCCTAAAGAAGAGGAATACACAAGGGTGATAGGAACTGATGCTTGTGGGTCTTAGCAACTGAATATTTTTCTGTGATTAGACAATGGGGATTTCCAGCCATGTGCTTGGTGTCCTATTAGTGGATTCTATGAGCTAGTTGTGCTGTTTGTATGGTTGAGACTTGAGATCAAGAACTCTGGAATAAAAACATATCTGAAACGACCTACATAGTTCAGTCTGGTTTGTACTTGTGCTTAATTTATTAGTGGAAAATTTTCCAAAAAGCAAAAATGGAGCTGCTGAAGATTTCACGTATACTCCTGACTTCGTGAGTCAAGGGAGTGAACTTGTTTGTGTTGTATGGTATGACATGGGGGTTCCACTGTTCTTCCAGCTGAACTGATGAATGAGCAATGAGTGAAGAATCAAGAAAGAAAAAAAAAAGGAAAAATTAGCAGCCCAAGCAAAATGGCTGTTTGTTTGGTTGTTGCCGGTTCCAGAATCAGCAATACATGATTCAAGAACCAGCAAAATGGACATCTTTTGAAAACAACTTTTTATGGTTTTCTTTTCTCAACCAGGCAGTGCTATTCGGTCAAGTATTTGATCAAATAGTTGGAGTTCATATGTTGGTAGATGTTATTGCAGTAAAATCTGTGTCAAATGGTTGAGAACTTCATTCAAGAAAATAATTCAAACTCATCCAAACAATTCATATCAAAATTTGATTGTATTTGGCTTAAGCAAATCTCGTAGTAATGTATATGAAAATCATTCATGTATCAGAAATTCCATTTTAAAACATTTGTGAAGTCTGTGACTGTGTTTTTTAATTGTGTGTGTGTGATGGGCTCTTACGGTTGTCGCGGTGGCTTGTAATAACCATATACTCCGTAAAAGGTCTGTGCTGTAGTCAGTAACAACAAGACAACAGCAGCAGAAAAGGAGATGATGGCCCAAGGATTGCTAAAGTAGTTGTGCTTCAGGCTGGCTCTCCAAGCATTCCATTTTTGTTCAGAGTAACGGTTGACCTGCTCAGACAATAGGGACAGATAACTTTCTTTGATGTCGAACACCACTTCTTGACACAGACGATTGAAGAGGTCGGCGACCTCAGCATCACTGCCGAGCCAGTGCTCGATAATCCCGTAGTAATGGAGGTAGCCCACGTCCTGAGGGGAGTTGATAAGATTGTCCATAAAGATCACATAAGTGGTTATGTTATTGCTGCAGTCAAGATGGCATTGTTCGAAAGCAATGAGGTTGAGGAATAGAGATTTGGTCCCGTCATGAATCAAGAGCCTAGGAATCCGAAGGACTCCATTCTTGAACTTGATATCCCAGAAGCGATCTGTCTTCCTCTTCTTGAACTTGATCCCAGCATCCTTTAGCTCGGTGACACAGTGGATTAGTTGCTGACGCCGTTTGTCCGCCACTCGATCAGCTTGTGACCACCGTCTGATCCACATTCGGGCCGAAGGTTGGGGTCCCCTGCGCAAAAGACTCCGCCTGAAAATGTCCAGGCAATGAAGGCCGTCTTGTTCCGTCAAGGGATCGAAGACGGTCGAATGTCCCATCGAAGATTCCATCCTAGTTAAGTATTTCTGCTGTAGCGGCTCATCGGACGGCATGAGTGGGTCAAAGAATCGGAGTGCAAGCTTTGCCACAAAGCCTTTCTGGTCAAGATCACCCATCTGGAGCCCCAGGAGTCGATCTAATACGAAGAGTGGTATCTGATTCTCAAGCATTATCATGTCACGCTGTATGGAATGCATAATACCGCGCATAGCAAAAACGGGGTCATTACGGGAGTAACCCAGATGCTTGAATCCCCCGGCAGCGCCTCGGAAGAGCTCAAGCATGAAACACCCATCTAGCACCATCATCTCAACAAATTCTTTGCTGCTGAGGGTGATCTCCCCTTCATAGCAGGCACGAGCCTTCTCCTCAAGCTCCTTAATGGGTTCCAAGTAGTGCTTCACGTCATGATTTGTACGCTTAAGGGTATGGTGGAGAGCTCGCCATTTGTGACGATCCATCTCCCTCAACCGTTTCCGACCATGATGATAAGGCCCCAGCGACACTATCTGGGGAACATAGGCCTTATCGTCGCCTTCTCGGAGACACTTGGGGACTCGGTAGATGCATAACTTGGCCCATGACCCAGCGTTCTCGTCTTGACGGGCCTGTTCCAACTTCTCTGTGATCGAGATAACCCACTGGGTGGACTCTGATAAATAGGTTTCTTCCTCAACATTGCCGCTGGTCGATATATTCTTCAATTCGCATGGCTGCCGCTTTTCTGTTTGCTGCTGCTGCTGCGGCGGTGTCGGCGGTTGTTCGAATGGATTGACTGACCGGGCGCTGGTGGGAGTGTCGTCAGTATTTTGGTTCCCAGTATCCACAGTTTCTCTGAGTTTGAGGGTGATCAGATACCAACTCAACAGCTCTTTGTTGAAAACGGCAACCATTTCAGGTGGATGTTAAGTTAAAAAACAGAGATTTTCTCACCCAACAAAGAGAGGATCGATGGCAAATCTTTCTGTTTTTCGACGTTTAATCAATTGAACAACGCCGAAAAGGGTCATCCTTGTTGGCCCCTAACATGACAACGGAACGGTAGTTATTCTGTGTAATCATCAAATAAATTTGAATCAAACCAGAGAGGGAGGAAAGGAAAAGGAAGTAAATGAATATAGAACGCTTTTTGGATCAAACTACCAGTTCCAATTGGACAAGCAATGTACAAGGTCATCTCAAGCTTCCAATGCTAAAAAAAAAATAAGAAAAAAAAAGTCGCTTTAACTTTTCATTTAATTTATTTGTTTAACTTGTGGAGAAAGAGAACTTCAGATCCGTTCCTTTCTCAACTTCAATTTTAGAAGGAATCATCCAAACAAAACTGAAAATAGGAATATATATATATATATATATATAATAATTTAATAATTTTAGAGGACAAGCCACCATACCAACGGTAGAGAGAGAGGAAGTAAAAGTGATTGATTCATGGGGCTCATTATCTGGGGACAATTACAGCTGGAAATCTACCCTATGGGCATTCAAAAGGGTGCAATGATTTAATTTTGGAGTTGGTGAGTAGGTCAGCATGTATAAGAGATGAACCGACGTTGATTAGATTAAGGTCATTTTTGTCATTTAAAAATCATCACTATCTCACGTGCATTATTCTATTCCTATTATGATTTTTGAGACGAGGAAGCTTATCATAAGAATGGCATGCGATTTTTCTTAAACTTTCTAATAGGCAGATGGGGTGGGGGTGTTCATTAGGGTTGTGTTTGGTACCATTTCCCATTTTTATTCCTAATTTTTTGGGTTGGTTAATACAAATATTTTGAAAATATATTTTTTTCTACCATAAATGCTTTGAGTTATTAATGCTTTTTTAGAAATCCCCAATTTTTGTGTTTCTATTATAAATGCCACTACCTAATTTAATGTTGTTTATTTGATGTGATGCGATAAGATAATTTTTCAAACATTTGTATTAACCAACACAAAACTTGCAAAGTGACAATAGTACTAAACATAACTTAAAGGTATTAAAAACTATCTATCAACATAAAAGCTAAGGAAGTTTCACATTTCCATCAATCAATGTCTTTAAAAGAAGCTTTAAATCATTTCAAGTACGGGTGATCATGGGATGGGTTAAATCATTTCAAGTAGGGATGATCATGGGGTGGGCCCAAACCAGTTTTACAAAGGTTATAGTGCCAATGTAGGTTTTGGGCCTATGACATCAAATAAGTAAATTTTAATTATTTATAAAATTTTATAGTATTTGATGTGTATAGATGAAAAAAATATTTGCATGGGCCCAAGTTAGGCCAAACTTGGTGTGGATTTAAGCCTTGATATAATAAAAGGGTATGGACTTCAACACATGCTTGACTATCATTATATAGATGAAGGCAATGCTTTTATTCTAATTCTTAGGCAATGTATGAGTTGGAATGAAGGCTTCACCTCCATCTATACAAGAATACATAATTAAGGGTGCAACTTGAATGGACCCAACACAAGCCTGAACCGGCTCAATCCACAATTTTGCATAGACTAAGCTTGGATTTTCAGTCCTCAGGTTTTTTGAATGCGCAGTCCTCAAGTTGGGATAAGAATCATCACAAGGTACACCCTTGTTAGCACGTTGAGAAAGCATTCAGTCTCTTCACCAAGTGTGCATATTTGATCTAGACTTCATTCAAACTCCCCCAACCCTCACAGTTAAGCTTGCCTAAAAAACTTGGGATTCATTCCCGCTTTTACCTAAATTGAATTGGAGCCTGGATGGACTTATTCCTGAGAAAATAGAGCAGAAAATCAGCTACTAATCTCGACAAAGTCCTCAGACACTACAGAGGCCAACCATAAAGGAATGGCACCCACCCAATTCTCCGAGGTATAAAGACCTCTTTGAGTCATAACATGAGCATATATCTATTAGCATTGTGATTTACAATGGTAAAAGACACATTTAAACCAGTTTCCACCTTCAAACAATCTCTGATTAAAAAATCCTCTTCAGCATTGCAGTTCTGACCACCCTTACCCAACCAACCAACTAAAGACTTGTTATCACTTTCCAGAATAAAATTGAAATGATGGAGCTCTTTTGCAAAAGAAAGGCTTTCAAAAACTGCAACTACTTCTACCTAGAGAGAGGAGCAATGCCATAACCTACCTTACCACTCAAAAAAAAGCTTCGTCCACATTTACCTTCACATCGTCATCCTACAGGAAATCCAAAAAGAAGTAGATCTAGCCCCATTCTCAAAACAAGGCAGTATTGGTGATGATATACATCTAGTCCTCTGAATCTCTTGAATTTGGAATCGAACCATGTCAATAACAGATATTGGGTTAGGCATACTTCCATTAGAAACAAAATCATTTCGTTGCATCCAAATGTTCCACAACATTAAAGCTGTATAGGATTTCAACTCTTCATTTCTCTCCTATTTATTACACAAAGCATTCCAATCTTGAAGTCAATTCTTAGACTGGGTATTAAGAGACAAATGATCAAAACTCATAACAAGAGAACCACCAAACCAACAATGCTTTGCAAACTCACACAGAGACATAAAATGCAGAATAGTTTCTACTTACTTTTGGTAAACAGGACAGCAAGAACTTGGAGTGACTTTTCTTTTATAAATGTTGGAGTTGATAGCCATTGCATTTAGACAACTTCTCTAGAGAATTTTTTTTCTACCATCTGGGGTACTTGGAGGGACTAAATAAATGACCACAGATGTCTCTCAATTAACACTTGAGAAACCTACAAATGCACCTGAGACTTTGCGTCAGCATTCCAATTCCTACTGTTTGGGAGGAAGAGATCACAAAATCTGGGCACATTGTTAGTGTTTGACATAGGGCCCATAACCTTAAAGCTCGGGATACCAAGGATCCAGGGGTCTTTCCAAATGGAGATATTTTTGCCCAAACCAACAACCCAACAAACCACCTCTTTAAGCACCTCTCTACCTATAAGAACACTCTTCCAACCCCAAGAGCCATTCTCAAGCAACTTATCATTTAAAAAAGATATGTTTTTGACATTTTTCCTTAATTATCTTGGTCCGAAGGCTGTTTTCATCCTGAGGTAACCTCTAAGCCAACTTTGCTAAGAAAGCTTTATTAAAGCTAGTCAAACCTCTAAAACCCAAGCACCCATACAACTTGTTTTGACTTAGCTGACTCAGTTGACCCAACTAATCTTATTTTTGTTATTTTCTTTTCCCCACCGGAAGTATCTTTGGAGTTTCTTCAATTTATCACACACCCCAACTGGGAGCTCAAAATAGGACATACAATAAGCAGGAATTGCATTAATAACTACTTCTAGCAAAACCTCCTTTCCAGCCTAATTTAAGAGCTTATTTTTCCAACTCAAGGTTTTCCTCTCTACTTTATCAGTTATAAACTCAAACATTCTTGATTTTCATCTGCTAAAGTGGGAGGGGGACCAAGGTAGGCAAAAGGTTTTTCAACTCTTTTACGCATTAGGCTTTTTTCCAATAATTTATGCAATCTATAATGAAAATTACTACTAAAACATGCTTCAAATTTATCAAGATACCTATTGTCCCAATGCTTACTTATAGCACTTGATAGAGCCCATAATCCAATGCCCTTCATTTGGATCAACTCTTGCAAAAATAAAGTTGTCATCTACAAAAAACATGTGGGAAATTGTTGGACAATTGTGTTTTAGTTTGACCCTAGTTATTTTCTTCTCCTCAACTAGCTTTAGGATCAAACAAGATAGCACATCTGAACAAAGAAGAAAGAGGTATGGTGACATTGGACCTCCCTATCTAAGACCTCTGCTTGGAAACAGTCTCCTACACAGAGAGCCATTTACAAGAATCTGATAAGAGACTGAAGTTATGCAATCCATGACCCACCCTATTCATTTCTGGCTAAAGCCCATTTTCTCCATTACTGCTCTTAGGAACTCCCATTCAACTTTATCATAAGCCTTGCTCTTATCCAACAACTTTAAGGCCATAATTGCTTTTTTTGCTTTGTTTTTTTTATATAATAAAAAACCTCATGATCCACCAAAATATTGTCCTAATATATCTTTCTTTTAGAAAAGCGCTTTGATTTTGGGAGATAACCCTTGCCAGGTTCGGTTTCAATCTTTTATCTAACACCTTAGCAATTACTTTATAACTAGTATTGCAAAGGCTGATAGGTCTAAATTGGTTAGGCTCTTCAGGGTGATTAGTTTTGGGTATCAAGGCAATGAAAGTAGTATTTAGATTCCTCAGAATCCTTCACTAAAAACTTATTTCACTGTCCTCACCACCTCTTCCCTAACTTTACTCCAATATTTTTGGAAAAATAAATTGGGGAACCCATCTAGACCTGGGGATTTTCTTAGATTCATCTGGAATAGGGTATCAATGATCTCTTCTTCCGTTACTTCCTTCTCTCTCTCTAGCCTCCTCTTCTCTAATACTGGTATTTAAAAAATTTACCACAACCTCAATATTGGTGGGATTTGTAGAAGTAAGATTTTAGTAAAATAATCTCTAAAAACATCCTCTATCCTCCTTTGGTCCTCCTCCCACACTCCTACATTTTTCTTAAAATTCTATTTTAGCCCTTCTACCAAGCATTGTTTGGTGGAAAAATCTTGTATTCTTATCACCCAATTGAAGCCAATTTGATCTAGCTCTTTATGCCGAAAAAATTTCTTCACGTTTTAACCACAGATTTACTTTGTCTTCACACACTTTGACCTTACCAAGAGAGAACTCACTACCTCTTGCTCTAAGGGCAGAATCTAGTTCTTTTGAGCTTCCTCAATCTTTTTTCACAGCTGTCCAAAAGTATTTTTATTCCACTTCCTCAATTCAGCTCGCAACCACCTACATCTTGTTTTCACCCCAACCTAATTTGAACCAAATGTTTTCCTCGATTACACTTTCTCAATTAAGGTTTCATAATCCTCATGTGAGACCCACATCTCTTCAAACCTGAAAGGCCTCTTGCATTTCAGCATACCAGGTTTTGTGTCTAGAATAATTGGAAAATGTTCTAAGCCTCCATAAGCCAATAAACATCATTAGCTTCTTGGAACAGGTCTATCCAATTTAAATTTTCAAATCCCCTATCCAAGACCTCTGTTCTCTCTCTTATTGCACCAAGTGAACTTAGGGCGTCAACTCCTTAGGCTTGTCAAATGTAGGTCATATACTACCTTGATATTTTTTTGTAGCTCCTAGTGTTTTGGGTCTCTACCCCCCCCCCCCCCAATTTTCATCTCTTTTTAGGATGAAATTAAAATCACCTACAAAAATCCAGAGTCCCATAGCTAAAGTACAGGTTTGCTTACATGTTTAAAAAAGTTATTCTATTTTTTTTTATTTTGTTCGGCTCACCATAATTGAAGGTAAAAAAACAAAAGTTTTTAAATTCATCCATAATTTTTGTATGTATGAAATTTTTATTTGAAAAAAGCACTTCCACTTTTATATCTACTCTCCAAAACAGAGCCAAACCCCCCAAAAAGGCCTTCTAGGCCAACACCCCAGTAGTTCCAATCTCTAAGCATCCTAAACTTCCTTCTACAATCTCGACGGTTACACTTAATCCCCATCAAGAAAAAAAAAAAAAAAACCTTTTGAAGGATCCTCTTTGTTGTAAGAGTTTTCAAGGGGTAACCTAAAGCTTGACAATTCCAACCAGCTATCTTCGTTGATTTTGAGGTGGTTGTTTCGAGACAACTACCACCACCCACTTATTTCGATAATTGGATCCACTAGATTTGCCTCTTGTTCTTCTATAAACATTGTCTAGTCTAGCCTAAGATATGCGAGGATCTACTCTTAAAACTAATCATTCCCCCCTCAAAAACAGCCAAGGCTTCCATTTGTTTTGATTAAATTTAAAAGCTGGTCGATGAAGGCTACTTGAAGATGAACTACAATGAAGATGTAATTATTTTAATTACATTTTCTGCCCTCTCAATGAACATGAACTAAATTCAAGATGAGGAGTATTTTAATAAAATAATTCTAGAAACCCAATACCTTATTCATACTTCTAATAATTAGTATAGATATAAAGGAAGGTTTAAGTAATTTTCTCTTTCTTCCACTACAAGAAATATGACCTTTAGCCACGGACAAAACCATGGCCAAAGGTCAAAATAACCATAGCTATAGATCTATAGCTACTATTCAGTTATGGATAGAAAACTGTAGCCTATGTTCGCATGGCTATAGCCTATGGCTACGATTTAATTAATCCGTGGCTATAACTCCTCTATAGCTACGGTTTTTGTCTATAGCTAAAGGATGGATTTAAACCATATGAACCTTTAGCCACAGACTGAACCGTAGCTAAAAGATACATATTGCTATAGTTTTTAAGTTTTCATAGTGATTCTTCAAATCTATTACCACAAAGTTTTACAAAGCTGTAGTTCAAGTATTTCATTTATAGCCACGATTCATTATAAAACCGTAGCTAAATGTGGCAACCTATAACTACAGCATTTTGTCAAAACTGTGGCTAAAAGAGTCTATCTATAGCCACGGTTTTCTGTAAAATTAAAGCTAAACTGAAACCAAATATATCAAGTTATAGCTACGGTTTGGACAAACCGTGGTTAAAACCTGATTATGGCCATGGTTTATTCCAAAACCGTAGCTAATTATTTCAATCTAACAAATAACAATGGCTTTTTAAAAATTAACGATAAAATACTTGTTCCATTCATACATTCCATAACTAATTATTCAAATTAAAATAGTAAAATAGCAATAATCGATACCATGAAAACTATATATTGTAATAAGAAACTACATGCCATGTATAATTTGATACATCCATTGTGTTACCAAAAAAAATATATCCATAATGTATTACAAATGTCAAATTTTTCTCAATACATATTAAAGTCGAGATGACCTTCAAATAAAAAATTCTAAATATAAAAGAAATATCCATTGTCTCCAACCATACTTTGAGCCGCTCGTTTGAATTATGAAAACCTACAAAGAAAAACAAAAAAGAAAGGTTAAAACAAGGACTACTTTGATGGTCTAATTAAATATACAAAATACAATGAAAAAATAAGTTATGTCAATGCAAGAAAAATATTAAATTTCTAATTAAATGTGTTTGATGCACTTATTTGACTACTTTCTTATGAGAAAGGAAAGAAAATATATTGCATGTAAGTTATGCCCTGCATCAACTTGGCATTAGAGTCGTCTTACATTAAGGTGAGGTGTTTGGTTATATGAGCAATGGTTCTTTGGGCCTTTAGTCGGTGGACAACATTAGTAATAAAATCTCTTTCAAGATTCTACACCAAACAACTCTCTCAGATGGATCCTAAGGTTGACTGGCCCATTAGCTTTATAGTTTTTGTCATTAATAGAATCTATTATTGACAAGGAGCTAGGACATGTTTTAGCAGCATAGGAGTTAGGATCCTCAGTTTGAAAAGTTGGATCTGTGTTTTGATCTCAGATTGTTGCAATTTTTTTGTGGAATTTAGCATTCTCATGGTCATGGTCAAGAGTTAACTTGTTGGCAATCTGCATCCATCCACAATGTAGTAATTTCAAGTTCTACTTGAGCAAAGAGCTCTAATGTCAAGTTGTGAACACTAGACACAATAAACATTTTCAATATCATAGAAATTGGCAACTGATGAAGTGGTATTTACTCAAGTTTACATGGGATTCTGACTGGCTGAAGCCTTTTAGTTACTATATATACATTTTCAGTATCATAGAAATTGTCATTTATTTTTTTAATGTTCTAAGACCTGCCCATTCAGGAACCTGGACTAAATGCTCTGTTCGATAATGGTTGAAGTGGCTGAACTAAATGTCTTGTTCCTTTGTCTTTTAATGGATAAAATAATTAAATAATAAAATATCCAATCCAAATTCAACCTCAGCAATTAATCCTTATTTACTTATTCACTAAAAGACAAAAACATAAAGCTATTCGGTTAAGAAAATTCAGCTGATCAAAGACCCTTAGGTCAAGCGTCAAATGATGGGATTGTTGAATCAATATGCTTCTCCTCAAGATTATTTAGTTGGATTGAGTCAAGTGGTTTAATTTCAGTATGTTCTTTTCACTTAGTTTTATATTACTTCACAAACAAGTGAACTCATAAGAAAACCTACAATAAGAGCACTGAGACTATTGTGGGGTCTGTTGAAGCTATATTGAAGTTCAATGTTGGAGTACTGTTAAAAAGAAGCAATATAGCTCAATGTTGGAGTACTATTGAAAATAAGCCAAAGCTTAATGTGATAATCAAGTACTTTTAGAGACTTTGGGAAAAAATAACTATGGCTTTCTCATTCTTAGAGAGAAAATGATTTTTAATTAATCAAGTCAGTTGGGTTTTATCTCCAAAAGAATTCCCACTTCGACAACATGAAGAAATGGTGTGGCCCTTCTTGACAACTCATATGAATTTGGTAATTAATGCAACCTCAATTAGCAACTAGTTTGACAATGTTCTGTAAAAGTTAAGGTCATGTCTAGGATTCACCTTGTGTTGAGCGAAATCTGAATTTACTCTACATGATTTCTAGATACTGTCTATTAGGATGACAGTACATAACAACATGATCAGCTACTCACACCTTCACAGGGCATTCAAAAGATGCATATATATAGCTCAAGTGTTCTGGTCCCTTACTGATGAATCCCATTGATTAGTGGGTCCTATCATGCAACCTACTTGTGGACAATAGTATACTCCTTTTTTTTTCTTTTTAAATAATTAACCAGATACGAATTTTAATGTCGCATAGGTTAAGTTTGGAAAGACTATAAATACAAAATTCCTGGTATTTTGTATTATTACAAAATTCCTTTGTACAATTAATATTCTTTCTAAGATTCCCACTTTACCACATCACAAATCAAGAAAAAAAAAAAAAAAGCAAGGGAAAGAAAATAAACAACTAGGTGGCTAAATTCATAATTAAAATTAAATGAAAGAGGCAAAGAAATCACTATGGAGAATATATTTCAACTTACCATCACAGTGAGCCCATTATCTAACAAAACCCTTTTATACCTGTATTTTAAGTAAGAAGTGCATAATAAGAAAGGATATACAAAAGGTCAAGTGGTTGTGCAAGTGGAAAACAACAAATAACCAAATAGCAATCACCTGAATGTACTAAAATCAATCTACTCCCAAAGAAAATAATATTCAGAAACTGGAATAAATAAATAAATAAATCTATTCTACGGGTACCATATGCCATTTAAATAATACTCGAGAGATGATATCAAGCAGCTCTCCTAAGGGAAGTTCTTCAATCTGGACAAGTCCAAGTCGTGGATCATCAATGTCAACAGGTCCACAAGTGTCGATTGTAAGAAATGAGTGCGACAATGAGGACATGACTGAAATTGGGAAGAAAAAGTAGGGTTCTAAGAAACCAATAGAAACACCAAATCCCCCATGAGATAGGAGAGTTTCATTTAGTGATTCAATAAATTTCTGTACTTGAACTAATAAACCCGGGGCAGAGGCAGAGATCGTGACTTCGGTGGCAAGAGATCTAGAGAGAGAGATGAGAGGTTGCGACTAGGGAGAGAGATAAAGTAGTGAGCCTCAGAGTGAGATAGTAGTGAGAGTAGGGGGAGAGAGTGAGCAAAAGCGAAAAGTCACGAAGAGCGGGAAAGGGAGAGAAGACTTTAGAGATGAAGAGCGGGAGGGGATTTTCAATCAAATAAACCCCTCATTTGGGGCTGTCAACGGGTCGGTTTTGCTAGACCAATCGAAACCTAACCAAACTGATTATGCCCGTTCGGTTCTGTCCCAATTAATGTAATATTTGATTCAACATTTTTTGGATTATAGAATAAATTAATACAATTTAAGAGTGAATTATGTGGAAAATACTTTTTCTTAATTTAGTATCCATTTAAAATTAATTAAAATCATAAATTCAAAATTTATTTAGTACGTATCCATTTAAAATTAATAAAAATGTATTTTAATTAATATAATCACTTCCAAATTATATATAAATTAAACTTATAATTAATTAAATTTTAAAACTAATTAATAAATCTTTAAAAGGTAAATAACAACAACAATATTACCATTGTTGCTAAATATTGATGGTAGAACTGAAATATCAGTTTTACCCTTTCGTTAAATCCCTTTGAAACCGACAAAGACCATATTCGAGAAAGACAACAGCAACTGGTGAAGCCATGACCCTGGTGAAAACTGCGAGAAAGACCATATTCGAGAATTGCGAAGCCATGACCCATCCAGTAGAAAGACACAATCCATAGGATTCGCATGTTCTGCGAGAAAGATCACACTCTTCGTTAATCTCCTAGTAATCCTAAACCTAACTCGATCCGCGCCCGTAGTGAGCTCTGAGATTCCCATCAGTTTCAATCCAAAGCCTCTGAATGCTTGCTATTTGCCTTTGAAGCTGTCAATTTTTGTAAGGCGTTGTGCGAGCCTCGTCAAAACCCATGTACAAGCCAACATAGAATAGTGGGTGCTTGGTGTTCTGTACCAAGGAGCCGAAGGTTTACAAACTAGAGAAGTTGAGGAAGGCTTCCGCAGAGATGCTGGGGAGGAGGATGACTCGACGTGAGCAAGATGATGATGACCGGTAAGCAGATGTTCGAGCGCCACTTAGAATCTGTGGGTGGTCTCTAACATCCAAATCTGGTTCCGCTCATAGCTTATTTCCAATTCAAAGAGCCTCTCTCTCTCCCCTTATTCATCACTGCCAGCGATTCCGACAAGCTTGATCAACTCCTCGTTTCCTCCGCCATCTGCAACGCCAAAGATTTAGTTCCCTTTATACGCAAAGCATTCGCCTCCGAAAAATTTAGGTCGCTTCTTTCTCGCAAGGTTGCAAGGTTGCCGAGAAAGGGGTGTTGGTCGCTAGATTTCTGGGTCTGGACCCCGGGTTTGACAGTCACACTCCGAAGATTGTACACAGAGGCCTTTACCTTAGCTCCACAATGGGTTTGGCAGTCACGTTCCGACCCCTCTCTCTCTATAATGACCTTAGCTTTGGTGATGGGTTTGGTCGTGATGCTAAGAAGTGGGTTATAGGGAACCGGTTTTCCTTTGGGGTTGAGCTTGGAGCAAGGACAAGAAAGAGAAAGACAGAGGGAAGAAGAGAGAGGGGGTCGGAGGATAAAGGGGTGTCCGTTGAGAAGAAGGGGATCCGGGTTATAATATTGAGTTTTAAAAAAATTTAAATGTCATGTGGTGTCATGTGTGTATAGGTTTTGATGGAATATTAACCGGTGTTAACGATAAGGGTAGAATTAGTTAATTATTAGACAATAGTCAAACAGTAGGAATATACTTAGTCACTTAACTAACCCATAAGGGTAGTTTAAGAAATTTACCCTAATAATAATAATAATAATAATAATATGCATATATACAAAATATACAATAACATTCTACTATAACATATATCTTTTATTCTACTTTGAAAATTTTAATATGAAAAATTAGGATTTGAGAACAAAAAAAGGTGTTTTTTTTTTTTTTGGCAAAAATAGCAAGGTAAGGAGGTGCCTTCAGCACTTTGGAACATGTCGATAGCAAAAAAAATTGCCCCAAATAAAAATAAAACATAAAAAAAGATAATCCCAATAGGCAACCAAAATGCAAAGTTATGGCCTCAAAAGTATACATAGGGGTGTTCATTATTTGGTCCAAACCGCAAAACCAAATTGAACCTAACCAAATTTGTGGTTTGGTTTGGTCTACACCTGAAAATGGTTTGGTTCAGTTTCATATTTTGTTAAATTGTGGTTTGCCATTTTGGTTTGGTTTCTTGGATTTTATAAACCGAACTAAACTGTAAACCAAAATTATATATAATATAATATAATATATCTAAACCGAATGTATAAAATTATTTTATAATACAATTAAAGTTTTGAGTTTTAATTTTTAAGGGTTCTATTTGGGATTTCTAATGGGATTAAGCCCAATAGAATAAAGAAAGGTCTAAAGTTCCCAAACCGTATTAGAAACTGCACCAAATCATAATTTACTGGTTTGGTTTGGAAAATCATAATTTATATTGTTAGTACATAATTTCGTGTTGAATTTTGTAAAAATTTAAAACTATTAATAATATGAATATTATTAAATCTATTATAATTTATTTTTGTGTTTTTAATAAATATTTTAAAGTTTATACTATTATTACATAATTTCATTATTAATTTTGTAAAAATATTAAATTATTATTAATTTGAATATTAAGTTATGGTTTTTTATCTTAAGATTTTTATTTTAGTGATAATTTCATTATTTTAACTATTTAAAACATTGTTATGTTAAATATTCCGTTATTTAAAATATTTAGTTATTTAAATATTTAAAAATACTCATTATTTGAATTTAAGATATTCAGTTATTGAAATATTTAAATAATTAAATATTTTTTCTATATAATTATTTAGCTATTTTCAGTATTTTATTGTTTAAGATATATAGTCATTGAAATATTGAAATATTGAAAATATTGAAATAGTAATTTATTTTTTTAATATTAAATTTCTATTATTTGAATAACATTTAATTTGAATAATCTGGAAAATCATAATTTATATTGTTAGTACATAATTTCATGATGAATTTTGTAGAAATATAAGACTATTAATAATATGAATATTATTAAATCTATTATAATTATTTTTTGCATTTTTAATAATTATTTTAAAGTTTATTAGAGATAATTTGGAGATAAATTTTATAATTTAAACTTTCTTTAGATAGATATAGATAAAAAGTGGCAAAGAGGATAAATAGGAATAAGAGATATTTTGGAGAGAAATGGTGTGGTAAATTAAAGATAAGTTAGGAGATAAATAGGAATTGGAGATGATTCATGAGAAAGTGGGGGAGGTAGTTTAGGATAAATTTTAGGAGAGGAGATTGTTGGGAACGTGTGGGTAAGAGAGAGATTTTAGATAATTTTTTATGAGGAATGAGAGCATCTCATTGGTTCTTTAAAAAAAAATGGCATAGAATAAAAAAATCAAAAAAAGGAGAATTTTCTTGACCACTCTGTATATATATATATATATATATAGATAGATAGATAGATAGATAGATAGATAGATATATAAATAGATAGATAGATAGATAGTTAAGCCCAAGGCGGGTTTAAAGTATTAGGCCCAACCCTAAAATTTGTGGCTCTAATGAAGGCCCGAGCCTCAGCTAGAGCTTAAACACAAAATCAAGTTCCAAGAGTGAAATTTGCCAACTCGCTAAAATGATCACCCTTGATTTATGGCAAAAATAGCAAGGTAAGGTGCCTTCAATACTTTAAAACACATAGGTAGCAAAAGCGTTACCCAAGATTTTTTTTTTTTTTTTTGGAATAATAGGGTTAGGTGTATGATCGAATTGGTTAAGGGTTGGGTCATGGCTTAACAATAATCTCACTAGCAAGTCTCATCCAACTTTCGAAACATTGGTTAGTGTTATATGTTTTATTATATATAGAGTAAATAATGCTGCTTTGAAATATGTAGAATATATATATATATATATATATATATATATATATATATATATATATATATATATATAT